AGAGACATTATTCCTCCAGCGTGTACTGGGCCATCAACGAGGCCTCCTCCCACTAGGACATGCCTGGAACGACCAGGAGGGTTTTGGAAAAGATGCCGAGCCAACTCAGCTGGCTCCTTTAGACATGGAGGAGCATCGACTCTACTCCGAGCTCCTCTCGGGTAACTGAGCTCCTCACGCGATCTCAAAGGGTGCGCCCAGCCACCCTGCGAAGGAAACTCATTTCGGCAACTTGTATTTGCAATCTTGTCCTTTCGGTCATTACTCAGATCTCATGACGATAGGTATGGGTGGGAACCTAGATCAATTGGTAAATCAGCAGCTTTGTCCCCTGACTCAGCTCCACACAGCAACCGCATCACTACCGACTTTCCATCTATCAAGCTCACGTTCCATCTGTCCCTCACTCGTTAACAAGATCCTGGTTTGATGAGGCCAACACAACAACATCATTTCCAAACAGCAGAGATGATATCCTCAGGTTCCGTCACCAGACACTATCTGGTCTGTGGCTAAACCTAGAAATTCTCTCCATACATGTAATGAACAGAACCGGTACCAAAGGGCAGCCCAGGCGAAGACCAACATGCACTGGGAACAGATCTGACTTACTGCCCGCAATGCGAACCAGGCTCCTGCTGCTGTCATACAGAAAAAGAAAGCCCTTAAGAGAGGGCTCCGGAATTCATACTCCTGGAGTACCCCCCTCAGGGCATCACAATGGACATGGTCGAATGCCTTCTCGAAATCCAAAAAACTTATGTGGCCTGGTTGGGCAAACTCCCACAAACCCTCTACCACCCAATGAAGGGTATAGAGCTGGTCCAGTGAGCCGCAACCAGGATGAAAACCGCATTGACCCTCCTAGATCTGAGGTTCGACTATCAGCCAGATCCTCCTCTCCAGCACCCTGGAGTAGACTTTACTGGGGAGGCTGAGGAGTGGGATCCCTTTCTAATNGGAGTTAGACCCTGGACAGGTCACCAGTTCATTGTTCATTGTAGAATGTCAACATCAACATTTAAACCATTTTCCAATAAAGCCAAAATTCCACCTCAATATCGATTCATTGCAACACAAAATGCTGCCTTTTTTAAAAACAGGTCCACACCCTTTACAGTAATATTAAACTGGATTCATTCCAGTCCAGTTCATATTAATAATCGTTTCATTTTCCATTGCTGAGCTGCATGCTGATCTGACAGCTCAACTCATTCAGCTACCCAACAGTGTCCTTTTTCCTGAATCTGTTTTTCTGGACTAATTTTCGGCAATCATAGGGGTTTCCATCCAAATGTAGCGCTAAATTGGGAAGAAATTAGCCAAACACAATGTAAATTACTTACTTTTTCCATGGACTACCAGACTCCCCCTTTGAAATAAGCAGCCTGGAGGGAAATTGGAAACAAAACAAAATGGATATAAACACCATTTCTGCCTATTTGATAAATAAATGTGACTCTTACCTTCACACCTGAGCTTGATTCACTTTCAGTTAAATTTAATAAGCTTACGATAAAACACTATGAAATCTTCAAACGGTTTGTCGATCTCATGAAACATCTGCAATCAGGACACTCCATACCCCATTAAAAAATCTTTGAAAAGAACGCTGCCCGCTATTGTTGTTAGCAGTGATCCTCTCAACACACATGAACTCACATGCTCAGAACCAGATTGAAACAATTTCAATTTAATGGTATTTTCACAATGTGGCAGCTTCATTCAGCTCAGAGCACTTGTGTGTGTCTGTGGAACAGCCACCTGCATCCCAGAGATGGATGAGAGGACCTAATTGAAAGCACATGTCGACTGGAGGAATGCTCTAGTCTCTACTGGTGATGAAAGGAAAGAGGAGGAAGGAGGGACCCTTGTTTTTTTGTTGGTTTTTGATTAAAGCAAAACATGTTAATGGAAAAAAAAAAACATTTATGTGAAATATTTTTCAGCTTAAAGTCACGACCGCACTGCAAAGATGGTCAGTTCATATTAAAACCAAAAGTCATCTGATTTTTTTTTTAGTGGAGAGTGGGTAAAGTTTTGTTAAGGTATTAGAAAAGACAGCTATTCACAGTGTAAAGGGCTTGTTATACTGTGTCGCAGTAAGCTTGTCACAGGTATGATGCAGATATTTTTGATTTATCCCCAAATTTTGAAGCATGGTCTGCGCTATGTAATTCCATGCCACAGCGCTAGAGGGACCCACTAGCTGTGGGTCTAGATATGGCCGAGGTGAGGAAGTAAAAAATGCAAGGGGCAAGTTTGTGAGACAACAGGGGGAAATGAGGGCGAAAAAGAGTGGGGATCCAGGTGGAAAAAGGGTCCCAACGTTTTCGCACATCTCCCTGTTCTAGCTGGTCCATCTTCACGAGTCGTTTTCCACAATGGCGGACATACAAACTGAACGTGCCGGTAAGGTACCAAACAAGAAATAGGCATATTGTGCGCTGGGAACAGATCTGACTTACTGCCCGCAATGCGAACCAAGCTCCTGCTGTCATACAGAAAAAGAAAGCCCTTAAGAGAGGGCTCCGGAATTCATACTCCTGGAGTACCCCCCTCAGGACACCACAATGGACACGGTTGAATACCTTCTCGAAATCCAAAAAACCTATGTGGGCTGGTTGGGCAAACTCCCACAAACCCTCTACCACCCAATGAAGGGTATAGAGCTGGTCCAGTGAGCCGCAACCAGGATGAAAACCGCATTGACCCTCCTAGATCTGAGGTTCGACTATCAGCCAGATCCTCCTCTCCAGCACCCTGGAGTAGACTTTACTGGGGAGGCTGAGGAGTGGGATCCCTTTCTAATTGGAGCACACCCCTGATCCTCTCTTTAAAGAGAGAGACCACTACCCAGGTATGCCAATCCAGGGATACTGTCCTCGGCTGCCACACGGTGCTGCAGAGAGGTGTTAGCCAAGACAGTCCTACAAGATCCAGAGCCTTGCCACCAAGAAGCTTTCTAACAACTCAGTGGCTTCAGCTTGGTTGATAGGCAAGTCCCAAGCTTCTGTACTCTCGTCAGAAGACGTGTCGATGGGATTGAGGAGATCCTCAAAGTATTCCTTCTGCCGTTGACAACATCCCCAGGCAAGGTCAGATGCTTCCCACCTGCACTGTAAACAGTGTTGGTGAAGCACTGCTTCCCCATCCTAAGGTGCCGGACAGTTTGCCAGAACACTCTTGAGGCCGACGGATAGTTCTCCATTGCTTATCCGAACTCCTCCCAGACCTGAGTTTTTGCCTAATGAGACAGCAGAAGCTGCAGCACGGTTGGCCTGCCAGTGCCTCCCTGGAATCCCACTAGCTAACAAGGCCAGGTAAGCCTCCTTCTTCAGCTTGACGGCATCCCTTACATCCGGGCGCCATCATCAGGTTCAGGGATTGCTGTCACGACGGGCACCAGAGACCTTACGGTCACAGTTACCAACAGCCGCATTGTCAATGGAGAGGGAGAACATGGACCCCTCTGACTCCATGCTTCCAACCTCCCTCAGGATTTGGGAACCTCTATTTGCCAAATAGAAGCTCAAATAACAAATCTAATGGTTATTATTGGTTGACTGAAGTAAGATTTAATCTAGAGGGCCTTGTCTGCTCGGAACCCAATGACTTGTAGATCTGCTGGTCTGCTTTTAGATTACTGACCTCTAATTCTGACTAATTAACCAGTTAAGGGCTGAAACTATTAATCCGCTTAATTGATTATTGAAATAATATTAAACTAATTTAGTAATCGAATAATCATTGACCAGTGTGTAGAGACTCTAAAACGTGCTTTTAGCTTACTGAGCAACCCACTTAGAGCAGCAATTATAAAATTGTATAAAGAAATATGTAAACATTTTCAATTTAACAAAGGAATTGCTTTCATCTGTCTATATGCTCTATCCAGAACTCCTCATGTAGAAAAGTTTTAATTTAATCTGTTTCTATTTAAACCTTTGGCTATCTGATTATTAATCGATTAATCAAAAGAAATAAACGAGAGATTTATTGATTTGCAAAAATAATCGTTAGTTGCAGCCCTACTGCAGTGTATACAGTGGGGCACTAAACATTGAAGTTTCAGTTCTAATGCCCTTTGTGGCTAAAAGTTACAGTGTTGCATTGGTCAAAATGAAACATTTCCCATGTCAACAGCAATGGGCAAGGTGTTCCCTGTCTTACAAAAGGGTTTCAGATTTTCTCTAATCACTAGAGATGCTACGCCCTGTTCTAATCTGACTCTACTCCAGCGCTGTAATAAGTTAATGCTTTTATACAGCCTCCTCCTCTGTTTTAGAGTTCAGTCCCTTACAACCCATTTGTAGATTTGGTGGGACCAGCTTGTGGCAGATAATTCACTGTACAGAGGTAATAAAACAAGACAATGATAAAATGAGATAAGATTAGCCTTTACTGTCTCTCTGCAGATAATCAGACTCTTGTTGTAGCACAGCAAAAATACAGTCTAACAAAAGTTTACAAGGCCAGAGTACCAGGAACAGAGCACAGTTTTACACAATGCCTTTCTTGAGAATGCCCAGATTTAGAAATGCTATGTTATTATTTTGGCATATTTAGAGCATGCTGACATTATTCTCAGGCATTTCAACTTTTTAAGCACCAAATTTGTCAGTCTAAATTTAGAACCAGTGGAGGAAATCATCTAAGGAGTTGCAGGTTCCTGGGTTTTTGACAATGACCCCAATATTACTTGGTTAGAGTGTCCAACTGATATCAATGTTAGAGACCAAACTCCCAGTCTTGAATGGTCCGCTCAAAATTAATCAGCCATAAATAAAACCGTGAAAGCATAAAGGTTACCTTGATATGTAGCTAATTCACTTGTTGATAAAGTGAGATATAAAATACAGTGCCACTTTCATTGTGTAATAGCAGTCTTGTTTATTTAGATAAACTCGTCATGCATGGAAGCAGTAACTAGATGAGAGAATGTCGAAGCAGGAAGAGTTGTCTTCTAAGTGTTTTTTTTGTTGTTGTGTTTTTCTCAGGGATTTAAACTACAACAGCCTGGTTGAGTTTCCTACAGCCATCCGCTCTCTCAGTCACCTCAAAGAGCTGTAAGTCTGAAACTTTGGGTTAAAAAGGCAAAAGCAAAAGAAAAAAAGGGAAAATTGTAATTTCTCCTGTCTTTCTTTTCAGAGGTTTTCATAGCAACAACATCCAGTCCATTCCAGAACATGCCTTCACTGGGAACCCCTCACTGATCTCTTTGTAGGTACCAATAATAACAAATGTTCTGTTTTCTTTGTTTAATGACATACATTTATACTCTGCTAAAAAAAAATAGAATAAAGGGAACACTGAAATATCACATCCTAGATCTGAAAGAATTAAATATTCTCATTGAATACTTTGTTTTGTACAAAGGTGAATGTGCTGACAAGAAAAAAGAGTCACACAATTAAAGTGAAAAAACAGACTACTTCCAAGTAATGTCAGGTCAAGATGAGGCTCAGTATACCCTCCTCATGGAGTCTGTTTCTAACCATTTGTGCAGACATTCACATCTGTGGCCTACTGGAGGTCATTTTGCAGGACTCAGGCAGTGCTCCTTCTGTTTCTCCTTACAAAAAGGTGGAAGTAGAGGTCCTGCTGCTGGGTTGTTGCCCTCCTACGGCCTCCTCAACGTCTCCTGGTGTACTGGCCTGTCTCCTGGTAGCACAGAGATTGCAAACCTTTTTCCCACAGCTCATGTTGATGTGTCATCCTGCATAAGCAGCACTACCTGCACCACTTATGTGGGTTGTAGAGTCAGTCTCATGCTACCGCGAGTGTGAAAGCACCACCAACTTTCGAAAGTGACCAAACCATCATCCAGAAAGCATAGGTACTAAGAGACGGTCGGTGGTCCCCACCTGCAGAACATCTCTTATATAGAGTGTCATGCTAATAACCAACAATTTCTACCTGTTGTCTATTTTCTTTGCACAACAGCACGTAAAACTGATTGTCAATCAGTGTTGCTTCCTAAGTAGACAGTTTGATTTCACATAGTTTTGATTTAAATTAAGCTATATTGTGTTTACGTGTTTCCTTTTATATTTTGAGATTTTATTGAAAGGGCTACAATGATACAAAAGGGCACCATTTTCTTTATAAAATAAGATTTCAACAAAACTAACCCCATCTGGAAAAGGAAATAAATGTGTAAAAAAGAGCATTTCAAAAACACTAAGATTTGTATACATATAATTTATAATGCACAAGGAGAAAGCGTCCTGAATTTTTCAATCTGTGCATTCTTAGTTTAAGTTTTGTTTTTTAGTCCTTGTGTGCCAGATGTTTTAAAAAATCTTTTATTTTTCTTTACTGATTCTATTTATTGTCTGGTGAAACAGTGAATGTTTGTTTTGTCTCAATCAGATTTTTCTACGACAATCCAATTCAGTCTGTGGGACGGTCGGCCTTTCAGAACCTGCCAGAGCTTCGGACACTGTGAGGAAAACACTCGACTCTGTTAGAAACTTAAAGGCTTATTAGGTTTTAACACGTTCTCATATTAGACGTTTGGAAGCCAATGTTTGCTCCTTTTCTGCATATTCAAACCTAAGCATGAAGTAAGTCAATTCATGATGAAAAATGTAAGAAAACTAGGATTTCTTAGTCAGGCTAAACCATTAACTATATAATAACACGCTCCAGTTAGAAAATGCAGATTAGATTGTGTGAGAACTATTGCACACTTTAAGCTGATGCTATCACACTGTTTTATAAATTATCCCCTATTAATTGTTGATGGTGGTGGCAGGGCTTGCCCTTCAGCAGGAGGCAGGGTAGTCTGGAAATATGACCAGGAAATCACAGCTACTCAGAGACAAAGAGAGACCCAGGAGTCAAACAATGAAATGTCTTCAGTTATTCTATACCTAATGAGATGTTTTGACTTCCTCATTCAGCTCCATGCAGAAAGACCCCAGGCTGGGTATATATTTGGGTGGGCTAGTTCTGTTTTCATTCACATTTTCCTTAAAAAAAACCTTAACTATTTGGTATTAAGTCTTTAACTATTTTAAGGTTGACCGTTTTCTTTTTCTCTGAAAAACATGACAAAAGACCACTGGTGCAGCCTTGGTGACATACCACACCTGAAATATATTTAAATGTTCAACAAGATTCTAAACTATGTGTCATTATTCTGCTGGTTTCGCTTGATATTAGCTCTGTGTGACTGAGAGCTAGCAGGTAGCAGTTTCTAACAGACATGTAAGAGTGGACACCGCATTGACGGTTGGGACAGAAATTACGGGCGCCATCTTGGGGTGGTCGACCTTCTACCCTAACCTGCTGGTGTGTGTATATATATATATATATATATGTGTGTATATGTATATATACATATAGTATCTATTCAGTATATATATACTACTCAAAAAAATTAAAGGAACGCTTTGTAATCAGCGTATAGCATCAAGTTAATTAAACTTCTGGGATATTGATTTGGTTAGGTATGTAGCAGAGGGACAGCTGGACAGGGCAGTAGAAGGTCTATAACCCATCAGCAGGACCGGTATCTGCTCCTTTGTGCAAGTGTAACACAGTAAAGAAGGGTATTAAGTATTTTAGATAAATGGGCCAATAGGTTTGGCTATGGGAGCATAGTGGGGTGTTTAAATGACACACAAAAGCGGTTGGATGGATTTAAAGAACAACTGGCTTTAGTGATATGAAATGTAACATTGTACAAAAC